TTTACTGAGTGCTTACTCTTGAGTAGACACACTTATTTAACCCTCTTCCTGACAGCCCTATGGCATAGCTACTCTTTCCGTTTTACCGATGAGGAAACTGAGGCACAGGGGTGTCAGATCACTCAGAGTTACAGGGTTCGTTAGCAAACGCTTACGGCCAGGATTCAAACCCTGGGCAGAGCGCACACGCCCGCCCGTGGCTGCGGGCGCCTCTCCAAAGAACAGGAAGGGCGCGAAGGGCACGAACAGAGGAGAGGCCGACAGCTTATGCGACAGGGGACGTTTCAAGGAGGGGTCAGATGTTGCTGAGTCATCGGGAACGAAATCCTAGAAACAGCCAATGGATTTGGGTTCAGGCGACCACAGTGACCTTTAAGAATCTGTTTCAGCAGAGGGGGGGCCAGGGGTCCCCTGCGGGACGAGGAGGAGGCGGTGACAGCAAATACAGCCCTGGGCGGAAATTGACAGTGAAGGGACAAGGACAGAGGACCCTCCGAGCCCCAGAGCGACAGAACGTTTTCTCTATTTGAGGGATTAGAATGTTTCTTTCTGTTCTTTTGTTTTGAAGGACCAAACTGACACATTTAGCAGTCATGGTTAAAATTAGGAGGTGTCACGGAAATTGCTTAAAAACACTGCATCGAATACAGATAGAATACAGAGATGTGACTATTCTAAGGGGCAGTGACGCGGAGGTTTGCTTGGCCTTATCTGCTGCACTGGCTGGACGGAATAGCGGTTCTGGAACCAGAGGAGGGGGGCGGGGGGCGGACTGAGGGAATCATGGGCGAATTCACTCGCTTTGGGCTAGTTTTGAGCCGAGAGGGAGCAGCCGAAAGCTTGTGTCATGACTTGAGGCTGACACCCAGAGAGCAGCTCCCGACTGCCGCCTGGACGTCCAAAGACCCGGGCTGCAAAGGGCAGGAGTCCTGGTTAAAATTCTGTTCTAATGAGCTGCGGGAACTCGAGTTACCAGCCCTGGGCTTAGCTACCGAGTAGTTTCCGTCACAAGTCAGAAACAGTTCTGGGGAGGCTGCACTCTTTGAGGGAGAATTCTCCGCTGGCTGGATAATTGAGATTGCCTAGGGCAGCAAGTCAAGCCCTGGAGGAGAGGGGGGGCAGGAGGAGGCCTCCCAGTGGCTGAAACGCGGTTCTGGGGAGACTTCATCCCACGACAATTAAACCCTTCCAGCGCCCCCACTCAGTTCTACAGTGTTGTATGAGTCCCCAAAGGCCCATCATTTGCTACAGCCCAGGAACTACCGCCAACTACAGACGTATGGAAGGGCAGAGTCCGGGACGGCCTGGGCCCGAGGAACCTCGGGCTGGGCTGCTGTTGGAACCTGCTTCCTGCAAAACTCAGACTCCCGCGCTTTGGCAAGGAACTCTCACGCCCAGGCTTAAGCAGGGAGGACACCACCGGGTAACCTCTAAAAATGCAACCGCTGATGCTGGGGGTGCAGTGACCAACGCACCTACGTGGGTGTCCATGGATTCCTTTTCTTTTCTAGGGACCTAGAACACTGAGAAAGCTGGTGGAATCTCTGGAAGTCTCCAAAACATTCTGCCCTCCAACAGAGGGCACACGCGGGTCTCCTGTCCACCCCAGGCCATCTCCCCAGGCACCCTCTGCTGCCCTGTCGCACTCCCCAGCCTTCAGGCAACTTTCTTCCCACTCTGCCTGGGAGGATCCTCTCTCCCCAACACCAGCTCCAAGTAACACAAGGTCTCTCCCAATTCTTCCCCACTTCCTTGCTGTTCCCCCAAACGCACACGCAGAGAGCCTCTGCATTTTAGAGATGTCGCTGCTCCCTACAGGGAACTGTAAGGATCATCGGCCACAAAGCGGAGGGGGGCGCGGTGGCTGGAAAGATTCAAGGCCACCAGTTCTTTTCCACAGCATCGGGGTTCGGAAAGTGAATAAAATAGACAAAATCCCTGTGCCCTGGAGTGTTCATTCCCGGGGGAGATGGACGATACACATAACTAATTTACACGTGAGTGAGGAGAGGCTACGAACGGGAGCAAAGCAGGGAGGCAGGACAGGGAGGCGGGACAGGGATGCCTGCAGGGAAGCATGTCGTTCGAAAGGAGTGGTCAGACTTTGAGCAGAGCCGAGAGGAGGTGAGGGGCAGGCGTCTGCAGGAGAGCATTCCAGGAAAGGGAGCCGCTGGCACTGAGCCCCCGAGGCTGTGACCAGCAAGGAGGCCAGGGGGCGACGGGGCCAAGCGCTCGTCATTCTGCCAGCATAAGGAAAGCCTGCGGTCTGAGCCACAATGACCTGGGCTCGAACCTCGACTGCAACCAGCTGCCCACAAAGGGTGATTGTGAAAGATAAAGGAATTGCAGACTGAGACGCCCATCCCAGCACACAGCTCACCCCGTGTCCCCTACGCAACACACGCTACTGCCCTTCCTCCGCCCCTGGTCGCACACGTCCGCTCTGGCTCACACCGGGGCCCAATGAAAGGTTTCTAGAAATATTCAGAGGTCTCCAAGCCCGCCAAGGGGCATTACCAAGTACAAGACAAGAAACTGCAACAGTATGCAACTGTGTATAACACTGTCAACAAACAGTAATATTTTAGTATCCACGTTCAAGAACATGGAGGGATCCACACCAAACAATTAGTTGGGATATGCTAAGGAGTAAGTTACCAAAGATTCTAACCACTGACCTACATCTACATGATAGCTGAACATTTCACAATGAAAACATATCCCATCTGCAAACAGCAATCTCGATCTAGGCTCGAACTGAGGCAGAAGCGGTCTGAGCAGCGTCCCTTCCACCCTGCAGCCTGGCCCACCCGGTGTGCTCTACCTTTAGGAAGCCTTATAATTTCCACACGGGAAAACAGAGTGCAAATACAGCCAAAGGGGTCTCTAGGGTTCTCAACGAGACCCGAGACCCGAGACCCGGACCAGGTGAAAGTCCTGTGGTGGGTGTGCCTGGCCTGCACCTGTGGACTCCAGCTGTTTCAGTTTGGCAAGGGGATGAGTTAACTTGTGGGCTGTGAACCACTTTCTAAATAAACTTAAAGCCCTTGGTGTGGCTGCCACCAAGGAGAGAAAAAGAGACCAGATAAGTGAACTTTCGTGATTCAAGACTGTCGACCCCGAAAAAAATCTTTTTAAAGAAAACTAAATTAACAAAGACATAGGAGAAAAAACACATGTCACAACAAAGTGTTTTTTACAAGGTCAAGGAAAGACAAACATGGCAATCGCCAGTGTCTTACTCAACGATGTATTCAAACGTGCATGACAATCAGGCACTGCAATGCATGCTAGGTATACAGCTGGGAAAAATTTTAGTTGCTCCGCTACCTTCCCCCACCCCCTAAGAAAGACGCTTGGTGAGAGGAATAAAATAATGCTTAAGCATCCACAGGTTCCCTCTGGCTCTTCCCAGCTTAAACATGTTTCGGGGGGGAAATGTAGTCCAGAAACATTTTTACATTCCTCAAACTGACGACTGCACCAAAAAGGGTGCTCAGCTCGCCACTGAATAAAATCCACTTGCATGGAAGAGAGCAGACTAGTCCACTGCTTGGATGCGTGATTACGAGGTTTCTGACTGAGGAAGACGGTGACCCCTCATAAGAAACCCCATTTCCCCCCGAGAAATCAAGCAACAGCTCCCTTTGCTTCCCGCCCCATTAACACCAGGACTCTAGAGTTTCCTGATCAGACTGGAAACCCCAGGGCAGAAAGACTCCACCTCAGCATTTCCATAAGCAACGGAATGGGCTCTTCCCAAACCAGGTGTTTTCCATGAAGCAAAGGGCTATGCAAACTGCTTCACTGTCCATACAACGATGTAATAAAAAGTAACATCATGCTGTTCTGAAACCCAAGGAAGAAAACAGAGCTTACAGAACCTACAGGAGTCTTATCTTTCCTACCTAGTGTCGTTCACCAATTTATAATTAAAAGGTCTAAATTCCACGGAATATAATTTTCAAATGATCCCTCATATTTGCCTATACCTTTCTCACTATCGTCTCAAATGTGTGGCCTGGATATACAACCCTGTCGCCCCACTGGCTGAATTTTCCATTGCCGCAACTCCAGCAATTTGTAAACCTATGAGAACTGCTGGAAATGTGTAGCAAAATCCAATACCTGCATTATAATAAGGCGCCTACAAAAAAAAAAAAAGATTAAATAAACATCCATAGCTGAACGCACGAATTCCCAAACTTTCAAATAGATAACTGCTACGATCGTAGATAGCAAAACTGGGTTTAGGGTCCAAGGGTGGTATGGATTCCTGTGACAGGGACACTGATCCTGTGCCTGGCAGGGCACAGCGAGGCTGCAGGGGGACGGGAGGACCAAAAACGAATGCTTTGTCCTACCTGATGTGTGTGCGCTGAAAGATTTAAATCCGAAGGGAAACTTCTATTCGAACCTAACTGCTCGTGTGTAAGAGTTAAATGGAAGCGTATCTTGGGCCCCATTTTTTATAGGCTCGGTACCACCTCCAAAAATTCCACGCGGACCCACTCGTAAACCAAGTTTCTCTCCGCGAAGGCCGCAAAGGTCGGTGCGGACTCCACCAGGTGGAAAATCGGATCCAAGCCTGTGAGCTCGTGCAGAAGCTCGACCTTAATGGACAGGTGCATGGAGCGGCAACCCCGGGGTTAACGGCTTCTCCAGGGCCCCCCGACACCCCAGCGATTTGCATCCTTCCCCGGTCCCTGACAGTGACCTTGGGCAAGCCACCTAACCTTTTCAAGTCAGCTTCGTCTTCAACAAGGAGATAACGGGTCGGTGCTGAGCGTTAAACGAGGTCGCTCTCGCTCGGCACCTGGCACACACGAGCACTCGAGAAGCGCGTCCTTCTCAAGAAGGCATGTGGCGCTCTGACGCGGCAGAAGCACCCACGGTCCTGTCCCGTGTTCCCACACGTCATGCCACCCGCTTCCAGCTTTTTCTACTCTTTTCGCCACAGTATTTCGAGGAGAAAAAAACAGAAAGTCAGTTCCACACACCTGCGTCTTCGGACCGCGGCTCGGAGCAAGGCGGAGCGCTGGGGAGGCAGGTGAGGCGCACACCTGAGGGGAGAGCGGGGGTCCGGGGTCCGGGTGCGGAGACGGCCCCCGGTTCCAGAGTGCCAGCTGCGCCGCACCAAGTCACAGGCGGCTCCGGCCGTGCCCCGCGGAGCGCAGCCGGACGGAGGCAGGCGGCGCCAGCACCGAGGCGGGAACGCGGGCGCGCGGGGGCCGTGCCAACAGGTGGCCGCGGCGGGC